TGCTGAACCCTGACCTCTGTGGGGAACCACTGCCCTAACCCAATTTTTTCATTTTATAGATGAGAAAACTAGACTCCAAGTAACAGACTTGCCCAAGATTACCATGGTAGAGCCCAAATTAAAGCATATTTCCTGGCTTCTTTTCACTCTATCACGTATCTATTAGATTAACGAGAGGACCCTGAGCTTCCTAATGTTGTTTTAGAAACAGTCCAATCATATCACTCTTGTAAAAAGCTAAAATGGCCCAGCTGGTGTGGGTCGGTGGTTGAGTGGTGACCTATGAACCAGGAGTCACGGTTCTATTCCTGCCCAGGGCACATGCTCAGGTTGCAGGCTCAATCCCCAGCAGGCATGTGCAGGAGGCAGCAGATCAATGATACTCTCTCTTTATTAATGTTTTTATCTCTCTCTCCCTCTCCCCTCCTCTTTGAAATCAATAAAAATATTTTTTTTTAAAAAATCAGTTGTACCCCTTATCAGTGGTATGAGCACAGATAGTTTGCTTAACATCAATGAAGCTCAGTTTGTCATCTATAAAATAAAGATAATGCCTACCTATCCACTTTCTGGGGCTGATGTAAAGATTAAATGAAATAATGTAGGTAAATCACTTGACATGATACCTAGCACAACAGCGGCGGCACATGGGCCTGACACTTCTAAAAATTTTTAAAAAGCTAAAATGTACAGTTGCCTACAATGTAATTTCCTCTCAGCTGCCACTAATGATTTTTAGGTACTTCAGTGATTTTCAACCAGTATGCTGCAAGAATTTTTAAAACGTGTAGTACCTACCTATTTAGTCAGGTGCACTGACCTCTTTTCCCTTAGACTGTCAAATAAAAACATTGTAACAGCCAACACAATAGCCATCTGGGGTGAATGAATCAAAATTATACCTTTTTTTCTCATATCAGCAAAAAATATTTTTTGGTGTGCGGCAGAATTTTAGTAATTAGATTATGTGTGCCATGAGAGGAAAAAATGTTGAAAATCACTGATGTACTTAATAACAAAAACAAGAAAAACACTTGGTTGCCAGCAACAGAAATTCTGGAATAAACAGCAGATACAAGAGGCAGCAAGAGGATTTTTAAATCTAAGGCTGGAGGCTGAGGCTGCTCTTCCTCACCACAAATTTCTATTTCACTATGTTAATTCATTAAGTTTAAAATACTAGTAAGTACAATCCTTTTAAGGAAGCCTACATTAATTACTCAAAGCAGCCAGCAATACTAACTCCATGTCATTGTAACAGTTGCTAAACACTGTCACTCCACCCTATGGGGTAGAAGGAAAATAAAGATACTTCTTAGCAAAACCAATACATACAGAAGTCAGGAAATAGTTTCCAGTTTAATCACACCAAGGGTATGTCTAAAATAAAAAATTACACTCTAAAACAGATTACTTACAACTCCAGAACACTTTAATTCTAAAGAACTTTAATAAATAAAAAGCCCCAAGTTTCCAAAGTCCATCAAAAAGGGATTGAATAATCAGTCTCAACAGAGCTGGGGGAAATTTTTTTAAAGAAGGGGGAAAGGTGAAGGTTGGTAACCATTCTCTTTCAAAAATAAAACACTGCTTCTTCAAATAACCACTCAGAATGTCACTTAATAGGAAGGAGGAAAATAACTGTCATATTTGCCTTATATACAGTATTGGGCAATTAAATGCAAACCTAGCTATTTAGGAATGGCTTGCCAAAACATTGAAAAAGTGAAAGACTTCATCCTTGTCATAGACTGCCACTTCAGTGGAACATTCGGTGCACATGACTGGGTGATAGGTTTCTTCCACTTCTGTATCTGTCTGCTCCGCAGCATCTTCATGGTTAGCCCGCATCTTCTTATGGCCTCGCTTTTTCTTCCTGTTCTCTGGGGTTTTATATCTTAGAACCTCCTCTTTGTTGACAGAACAATTCATCACAAACATTGCTCTATACTGAGTTTTGTATGATTCATGCCTAAGAGGGAAATAAAATGGAGAATGTATATTTATGTTTTATTTTAATAGTTATCCATTTAGATAAAATATGACACCAAATATTACTGAAATACCAACCAAAGTAAAGACATAAGAACAAAATGGGAAACTTACAGAAATGTTAAGAGCTTTTTTAAGAATAGGAAGAAACTTGTTAATAGATAATGGTGCATAAGTAACTTTACCTCAGGAAAAAAAAAATTGATTTGTTCTTCAAACTTAAAAAGATAAGTTGTAGGAAACTTGAGAGGTAATATTTAAATTATCTTTGGCTGTTTCTATTGTGATCTGAGACTCTGCCCTCCTCTCATTATAAGTGGTGCCGTTCTGGTCACATGCTCAGTAAAAGCTAGTTTTAAAAGCTTAAAGAACCCTGGCTCCTGTTGCTAAATGGTTAGAGAGGCAGCCCACACACTCAAGGGTCATGGGTTCAATTCTGCACACCACCAACGGCATGTACTTGGGTTGAAGGTTCCATCCCGACCCTGGTCAGGACAAGTACGTGAAGCAACCAATCAATGTGTCTCTCTCACATCGATGCTTCTCTCTCTGCCTCTTCCTCTCCCTCTCTCTCTCTAAAATCAATAAACATATCCTCAGGTGAGGATTAAAAAAAAAAGATAGCCGAAACCGGTTTTGCTCAGTGGATAGAGCGTCGGCCTGCGGACTGAAAGGTCCCAGGTTCGATTCCGGTCAAGGGCATGTACCTGGGTTGCGAGCACATCCCCAGTGGGGAGTGTGCAAGAGGCAGTTGATCGATGTTTCTCTCTCATCGATGTTTCTAACTCTCTCTATCTCTCTCCCTTCCTCTCTGTAAAAAATCAATAAAATATATATTTTTTAAAAAAGAAAATGCTTCCTTTGTTACCCTCAAATACTTAATATTTTTCTACTTCTTTCCCCACTTAATAAGTTGCCTTACTTACTTCCCTTTAAGCCTCATGCAACAGAAATACCTGGTTAAAAACAGTGAACTCCAGTTATGCCTTCATTAGTTCCAAATGTTGACCTCCGCTACCATCACCACCACTGGTAACTTAGACTGTGCAAGCTGGTGCTTCTCCAAGTAAGACTATAAAAATTTCATTTATACTCCACTGTATTGGAATCCGGTATTAATGTGGAACACAATTTTTACCAAGGAAAATTTCTACTGTTAGATTATAAAGCAACTTCTTTTGAGTATAGAAACCCTGTAACATGGTTTAATTTGAAAGAAGCAACTTAAGTACAAAGACATTTTACTTTTTCTTCATTTCATAAACATATTCTAGGTGTCCAATTTATATACAAAAAGCTTAAGGGTTCATATGGAAAGTACATAAGTTAATTGCTGCAGATCAGAAACTTCCCAGGTAATGAATAAGAATAACTTGTATCTAGCTCCTCACTAGCTCCTAGAGCAGTGATGGCGAACCTATGACACGCGAACTCATTTTTTGGTTGATTTTTCTTTGTTAAATGGCATTTAAATATATAATATAAATATCAAAAATATAAGTCTTTGTTTTATATGGTTGCAAATATTTAAAAAATTCTGTATGTGACATGGCACCAGAGTTAAGTTAGGTTTTTTCAAAATGCTGAGCTCAAAAGGTTCGCCATCGCTGTCCTAGAGCAAAT